ATGTTTGTTATAGAGGCTTTGGGCTTTTTTTAGAAAATTATTTATACATTCATTCATATCTGTATATGTTTCGAGCTCATTTTGCCAATCGATGTTATTCATAGCTGCTGTAAAGTTGTTAACTGCTGTCTCGTTATGTAGTCCGAAGGTTACTTTAGTGATGTCTTATGGCAGTTTGCCCAGGTTAGTTATGAGATAGGTTGGGTAGTGGTCTGTAGTGTTGTCTGTGATTATGCCTGATTTTTAACCCTTTCAGGGTTTCGGCCATACTAGTACGGCTTATGCACTAGGGTTTTTGACGTACTAGTACGCCTAAATCCTAGCACCCTCAAATCTAATGAGAGAAAGCTGGTAGGCCTACATATGAAAGAATGGGTCTATGTGGTCAGTGTGTGTGGTATAAAAAAAATCCTGCAGCACACAGTGCGTAATGAGAAAAAAAAAACTTTGACCGTGTTTTTGGATTAAAACAGCGACTTTGCACTGTATTTTCGTATGGTATTTATTGTTGTATTCTAGTTTTCCTGGCCTCATTTTATAGAATGGAAGACATATTACAGAAATTGAGATGATTTTGACTGATTTTACAATGAAAAGTACCTTGAAATTGAACCCAAAGTAGCAGAAATCTTTGATTTTTACCAAAGCTCAAAAGTAAACAAATCATGCTATGCATCCAAAACACATCAACTGGTGAATCTGATATTCTTTCACAAGTGCGCTGATATTATTTATACCATTTCTACACTAATGCAGTAGTCTGCATAACAGTAAATCATCTGTTTTTTGTGAGAATAAAAATTCTAAGTGGAAAGCAAAAGAATGTAAGAGGGGAGTGGGGACGTGACTAATAAACATAGGAAATATTATTTTAGTGCCAGGAATGTCTCTCTTGTTTATTCTGGACCCTATTTGGAAATTGGCATCTTTTGAAATTTGTGTGAAATTGGCAAAATTGCTAAATTCTGACCACTGTATTGGATAGTTGAAATCGGTAAATGGGTGGTTTCTTGAACTCATTTGATAGAAAAAATGGAGTTCTAGCGAAATAGTTATGATTTTTGTCGACTAGTACACTGGAATTGGCCGAAAATAGGGCTCAAATTGGGCAAAATTGCCGATGCATAAACATCGTTGAGACCGCTAAATTCGCGAGAGCATAATTCCGTAAGTTTTCCATCAAATTTCATACTTTTGGTGTCATTATGATCGGGAAAAGATTCTCTATCTTTTCATAAGAAAGAATAATTTTTCTTGCTTTTTGAAATTTGGGCGGCCCTGAGAACAAGTCTCTGAGAGGGCCTGTCGACCCTGAAAGGGTTAAAGGGGATATGGTGTTTGCCCAGATGTGGTCTATTAAGGAGATGCTTGTCTCGGTGATTCTTGTAGATTTAGATATTGTTGGTAGCAACAGGCAGTTACTCATTGTGTTTGTGAATTTGGTTACTTGTGGGTCCTGGTTGTGTAGTATATTTATGTTGAAATCTCCTGTTAGTAGTAGGTGGTTTTTATTCATGTGTGCATCAGTAATCATGTTTCCTAGTTTTTCCCTAAAGTGGTAAATGTTTGACTGTGGTACTCTGTATATGTTTATAATTGTGAGGGGTTTTTGCAGGTCTTTTGATTTAAATTTGGCTATGATATATTCTCCATGTTCATCCCTTGTGCAGGATTTGTCGATGCATTCGAGTTGATTTGAGTAATATATAGCTGTTCCTCCCCCTTGGTGGTCTGTTCTACAGTTGTGTATGGACATGTAGCCAGGAATGGTATAGACATCTGTAATATCAGGCTTAAGCTAGGTTTCTGTGAGTGTGATGATTGATATTTTGGAATGAAGGGAATTGAGTAATGCTGTGAGGTCATCATAATGTTTGCTCAAGGATCTGATATTGTAGTTAAAGATGGTTATGTTATTGTTTGCACTGAGTAATGTCTTTGCTTGGTCTGCTGTATAGTAATTACAGTTACTGTTTGATTCGTGTATTTCATTTAGTAAAAAGTTTACATCAGGATCTATGCCTGTAATCATAGGATGAGAGTAATTTTACAAACTAGATTTTCTGAGTAAAATAATATAGGAGTTATATTGAATCTACAACTAGACTTATGAATAAGACTGTAATTATTCTAAAACTTGTAAAAATTTAAAAGAAAAAGGGATTATTACAGTACAGATAATAGAGTTATACATTTAAGCATCTAATAGCATCTTAATTATTTTAACAAATGTGAGTTTATGAACTACGGTATTAACCCTTTGACTGTTTTCGACGTATAAATACGTCTTACGAGCCAATGTTTCTGACGTATATATACTCAATAATTCTAGCGGCTTCAAATCAAGTGGGAGAAAGCTGGTAGGCCCACATGTGAGAGAATGGGTCTGTGTGGTCAGTGTGCACCACATAAAAAAAATCCTGCAGCACACATTGCGTAATGAGAAAAAAAAAACTCTGATCGTTTTTTTGGAATAAAACGCCGATTTTGAGGTGTATTTTCGTATAGTATTTATCATTGTATTCACGTTTTCATGGTCTTAGGTGATAAAATGGAAAACATATTATAGAAATAGAGATGATTTTCATTACTTTTACGATGAAAACGACCTTGAAACTGAGCTCAAAGTAGCAGAAATGTTCGATTTTTACCAATGTTCAAGAGTAAATAAATCACACCACACGTCCAATACACGTCAACTGGGGAGTCTAATATTCTTTCACTAGTGCACTGATATTATTTATACCATTTTTACAATAATGCAGTCGTCTGCATAACAGTAAATTTTGTATTTTTTTGTATGAATAAAAAATCAAAATAGAAAGCAATAATAATATAAGAAGGGCCTAGAGATGTGACTAATGAACAGAGCATATGTTATTTTAGTGCCACGAAGGTCTACCTTGTTTATTCTGGACCCTATTTTGAAATTGGCATCTTTTTTATTTTGCGTGAAATTGGCCAAATTGCCAATTTCTGACCACCATATTGGGTAATCCAAATTAGTAAATGGGAGGTTTCTTGTACTCAGCTGATAGATAAAATGGAGTTCTAAAGAAATAGCTATGAGTTTGGTCAACTGGAACAATGGAATTGGCTGAAAATAGGGCTCAAAGTCGGCGAAATCGCCGATACGCATATGTCGCAGAAACCGCTAACTTCGCGGGAGCATAATTCCACGAGTTTTCGACCAAATTTTGAACTTTTGGTGTCATTACCATCGGGAAAAGATTCTCTATCATTTCATAAGAAAAAAAAATTTTTTTTTTTTCAAAAATTGAGCGACATAAAATGACAGTTTCAGAGAGGGGCCTGAAACAGTCAAAGGGTTAAAAACAAAATCAGTAGCACCTGAGGTAGTCAATAGCACCTGGAGTATTTTAATAAATGTGACTATATGGACAAGAGGGTAAAAAAAAAATATTAAATCTCCTGAAAGTTGCTCTTTAATTGTTGTTAGAACTAGGAGTATAGCAATTACTGAATAAAGGGCAGTACAATGTATTGGTATATAGAGAATTATTTCAGGAGAAATGTGAAAAGGGACTAAATTAAGTAGTGGTAAAAGCAACATTTAAATAGATTGACACTATGATATGAAATTAATCTGAGAGTAGAATTTGCCTTATAGCATAAAGTTTGAGCAATTGATATCACTAAAGAAATATTATATGGGGTGTTGAATAGTTAGGGGAAAGGGTACAAGGAATTGACTGTAGTGTAGTGGGAAACATACATATTTGTTATTTTATTTTGGGAGAAAAGGGAAAAAATGGTAATATACGTAGAATTTTATAACAGTGCTTAAATAAATAAATGGTACTACAGAATTTTTAAAGATATCTTATTAAAAAGTAAAAATTGTGAAAGGGAAATCTGGGAAGATAAACCAAAATTTAGTAACACAATAACTGTGTGGGACACTGGGTAAAGAGTGTAAATACTACCAGGAGGTGTAGACAGGGATTAAATTCAATAATGGCTAAAACATACACAAAATAGTACAGTGATTTGGTCCTAATACAGTCAGACTCTGTAATGTTTGCACATGAAGGATTTCACTAGTTCATTTTCATTTGTAATGTATACACACGGGCCTACATTTGTTTTTCTTCTAAATTGTCCCTCCTACAAAGCACTGGTGAATTTTATCATTAATTTTCACGTTTCAGTTTTTCATCTGTACAGGAGGTTTAGGGGCATTTTCCTTGTAGACACCATTTATGTATATACTTTTTCCCCGTCTTGGTGTGAAATCTAGCATAACACTTTTTTCCTTGGTTCCCTAGTAACCGTGATTCTTTAATTTTCCCCAAAATGGTACATTAACCTGTGGTGGTCGCGTATGATTTGGAGAGTTGAGCTTGCAGTTGGTATGGGTTTAATTCATAGGAAAAAATGGATGTTAATTTCTATGCATCGGCTATTTTCTTTTCTCTGCCTTGTCATCTTGGTAAGCAAAAAAATTGTTCGTTGGGTTTCCATGTTTGTTTTTCCCTCCAGACAGCATCTTCAATCTTCATGTTAGGGAATTATTTGATCTGGTGACTGGTATGACGATTGGGGGGGTTTGGCAAAAAACAGCATGCCCGTTGAGTTTGTTGTTTTTCAAGCTGTTGATCTTTTTCCAAGGTGAATAACCTAGTTTCTGGTTGTTATTGTTGCACAGCCTGGGTTTATTGCACCTGGTGAAGACACTGTTTGAAAAAATCAAGAGTATGTACAATTATGTTTTGCAGTGGGGAAAATCATAAATTAAATACTGTACTCTAAAATATATATATTATCAGTAGCTTTTGTAACCCTAAACCTCGGCAAGCTTGCATGGAAAATTTTAAAAAGAAAAAATATTCACCTATTATTTAAATTTAGGAAAGAAGTTTAATCACAATGTTTAAATGTAAAAAAAATAATAAAAAAGGCCTCTTATTATTACAGTATTTAAAACCAGATATTATATCATTTTTAATATTTGTAGGAAGTGAAAATTTAATTTACCTGTCTTCATTTTCATTTGATAAGGTTTGCACTGAAGAATTACATGTTTGGATTGTCATCGATCAGCAGCTGCACTGCTGCATATATCAACTCTCACTACAGGAGAGCTGTCAAGCTGAAGAATTATGCCTTTGTGCCTACTTTTATTCCAGTGGTCCTACTGCCTTCCATAGTGAGCACACTGTTACACCACCATGTAAGACAATACTGCACTTGTTAAATTTACATATTAACTTTTACCTATATATGATGTTTTAATGTATATTTTAATACACTTAATTCATAGTGTAAGGTTCCTGGGTCTTCAGCTAAATTTTATATATTTTGCTAAGAGTTTATGAGACAAATTAAATACATATATGATAAATGGTTTAAAATCATGAAGTTGAAGATTGAGACACTTATACAACATGTGGGTATCTTTATCAAAGAAACATTTTGCCACACAGTGGCTTCATTAGTCCAATACAAATCAGAAAGGTGTAAGGAGAGGAGTTTGAGGTAATAAGTCCCTCAGCCTGGAGTCGATGTGTTCAGTCCATCAGTCTTATAGAAAGTACAGCATAGGGCTGTAGAAGTGGCTTATGTACTGTAGTCAGGCGAGGCGAAGCAGGAGGCGGGGTCATAGTGGTACCATCCACTAGTCTTCGTCTTCGTCTTCGTCCAAAGGTTGGACAAGTGTTGAAGAATTCTTTGTATCAAGTTTCCCTTGGCAGTTTTGGAGAGATATATTGTGTATTTTTAACGTATATACTTCTAAACTGTTGTATTCTGGGCACCTCGAAAAAAACAGTGATTATGTGTGAGTGAGGTGAAAGTGTTGAATGATGATGAAAGGATTTTCTTTTTGGGGATTTTCTTTCTCTTTGGGTCACCCTGCCTCAGTGGGAGAGGCTGACTTGTTGAAAAAACAAAAGATCCCATGATGTTGCGGTGTCTGTCAGACACTTCGGTCGCATTTTTGTCAAAACTTGCAGCCTTCCCATGCCTTAACACTCTGTGTATGCCAGATCACTTATTGATTTGGGTTGAACCAGCCTCTGCTGGCCTTAAATTCACTAATAGCAGCACTTGTTCCAGGCATTTTCTTTACGAGATCCGCATGCAACTGGCTTGCCTTTTCATAAATTATCGACTTCAAAACACTATCTCCCGCTAACTGTTTTTCGTTGATCCACACCAACAACAACAACTGAACATCTTCGATTGTTTGTGATCTGTGTTTTGTTAGCGCATTTACCTCTTTAGCAACATCAGCCCCCATGATTTCTTTTTTCTTGGCCAGGATGGAACTGATTGTTGATGCAGATTTCCCATACATCCTGGCCACCCATATACCACTTTCGTACTTAGCTACAACTTCTTTTTTGAATTCTATTGTGTTTCTCACTTTATCGGAACTGTCTTTAGCCCCATGGTGGCTTATTTAGCAGTCGCACTCAATAAACAAGCACAAAAAACAATGGATTGTTACGAAATATTTCGGCTAATGCTCGGGGTGATGCTCACTCAACGATAAACAAAGGCAGACTGAGTCACTCGGCACTTGAGTGGCCGAGTGACGCGGACGAGCAGGCGGATGCGTTCGGTACGGACCATTGTCAACTCTACAAAAACTGAGGTGATGTACAAAAACTGGGACAAAATTTTGACTGAAAAAGTCATCGAAAACCAAATCCTATGAAAACTGGGGCGTACGAGAACCGAGGTTCCACTGTAATGTATAGCAGTGTTCATTCCATAGTTTTTCAAAACTCTGTGCAGACTTTACTTCCTCCTTAATATGAGGAAAAGGTGTGAATTTGAAATCATTGTAAAAAAATATCAGCCATATTGCTACTAATTACAGTATTAGTATATGTTACTGTAACTTAAGAATCATGTAAAATGCAAAAATTATTAATAAATGTAATTTATGTTTGCAGTTTGTTCAGACCCCATTACTTATGCAAAAGTTGCAGTGTCCAGTTTGTTTAGAGCTGAAAGGAGGTGCAGTACAGTTGTTTTCTGGCTTTATATATCCCATGGTGTTGGCTCCCCTTTCAGCATTTCAGGTGAGTCACTCGAAAACATGGAGTTTTTAGAAGAAATAACATTTATTTTGTGCTGCCTTTTCAGTACAGTTACCATGATGGAAAGTGACTGTTACGCCCATAAAATGTTCATGATTAATATGTGTGTGTGTACAGATTGTGAGATACTCTACTTACAATCAGTGCCCACACTGTCTGCGAATGCTTCCCGATCAATCTTAGTGTCAACATTGTACTGTATCACTCACACATCTGTTGTAATATACAGATAAGATCATTTCTCAAGAAAATTTGTAATATACAGATCAGATCATTTCTCAGGGGTCTGGACCCCTCAAAGGGTCCAGACCCCTAATCTGAGACTTGTCCACAGGATCCAAGAATTAAAAAAAAAAAAAAATTTTTTTTTAATAAAATGGTAGAGAATCTTTTCTGAAGGTAATAAAACAAAAAGTACAAAATTTGATAGAAAATTGACGAAATTACACTTACATGAATTTTTCTGTGTCAGCGTATTTATGCATCTGTGATTTTACCAACTTTGATTCCTGTCTTAGGCCAATTACATTGTTCCATTAGACCAAATTCTCAGCTATTTCACTAGTACAATGGGGTCCCACTTATACGGCAGGTTAGGTTCCAGGCTCCTGCCAGAAAGCAGACATCGCTGGAAAGCAAAACGCCATTTTTTTGCACTTATAATTGCATATGAATGCCAGATAACAAGTTTACACTAACATATATTAAGTTAGAAATAGAACTAGGCATTAAAGGCAATAAAAAGTAAAATACACACACACTACACTCATTACTTACCTTAAAATATTTGTAGTTTTAATGTAGAGTGAGAGGTGAGTTGTATTTATTTGTGGGAAGTCAGATGTGGTGTCAGCAGAGTTGCTGATCCCCTTATATGTGTTGTATAGCATATCGTAGTACCATCCATGTGTTTATATAGAAGATCCCTTTTAGGCCTGTGACTGTTTGTGTGACGTCACGGGATGCGCATGTGTACGTTCGTACCTCTGCCTCCCTCTCAGTCGGCGTGTAGACATAGGCAGGACAAGGCAGGCTGGGGGCTCCATCTCCCATTACCACAGTCTGACAATATATCGTTACCATCCAACAAGTGTGTCTACCTTCAACCCTCGATATCTCCATTTAAGAACCCCTACGACAAATGGTGACAGCAGAGGGCCTGTAATTCTGACGATTACAGTGATTTCTGGAGATAAATTTCTACTGTGACGGTCGCCATCTCCTGACACTAGGCCGACCTAGCCAAGCCAGCTACCTCAAGTCAGCTACTCTCTCAAGCTTCTACCAGCCACTACAATAATCACTGGTCAGTCTCTTTGTATTTGTGTTTATCTGCTTATTTGCATCACTCCCGAGGGGTTGACCCGAGTTTGCAAAATAAGCCAGCTACCAGTCTCTGGTGAGGGAGTCCAGTCCAGCCTAGCCTACTCCATCCAGCTTTTGCCTGCCAAGCCAGCTTTCCACCCCTGGTGTGCTCATCATGAGAAGTTATCAAGCTATTCTGTGTGAAGGGTTAAGATAAGCCAGCTAGCAACTAACCCAGGTGTCTTATCTCAGTACTCAAGCAAGCCACGTGAGTACAGTCTTCATCGCTTGTGATTCAAGCTCCAAGCCATTCTGAGTGCTTTTTTTTCATCCCTGTGTTGTTGTGGTATTTCGTGGGTGTATTTTAAGCCAGCAGCTTAGAATATCTTCGCGCCAGTGTGGTTGTCTTCAGTGAGGCTTACGCCATTCATCCCATAGGCTCACTGACCACGTGTGTCTCACCACGCGGTCTGGCCTTAGTCCTTTTAAGCCCACCCACCCAACCACTCGACACCGCTGCCTCAGATGCCTCACCCAGCCATTAACCCACTCACCCAACCTCTACCAGTGTTTTGGTACACTACTAGGGGTTATAGCACCATATTTTAAGGACCACATAGGGGGTCAAGAGATAGAGTGTGTTTGGCACCACCGTCGAAAGCCTCCTGTGTGAGTCTATTGTCGATTTAAGTGCAAATTCTTCGAGTGTGGAGAGAAGTCAGTGATCGTAGTCAGCCACCAGTCTCCTCTATCCTCCAACACCATCCTCCAACCTTCCACCTCATTCTTCACCACGTCGCTACAGTGATAATATTTTTCATATAGACATTTGCAAGTGTTGAGACATTTCTTTTGTGTTCCAGTGATTTTTCTCTCAGTGACATTCAGTGACTCTTGATTAGACTCAGTGTTTATTATATACTGATTGCAATATTTTTTTTATCTTCTTAATTCAGTGTTAATTTTATTGCATTATCTTATGTCTGTTGTGTTGTGTTTCTTTTTATACACTTGAAGTAAGTACCTAGTGTTTTTCCTTTGTTGTGTGTGCAACATGTGAGCAGTATAGAACTTGTGTTTACACTTCACAATCACCTAGTGTTCTCAGTATTCCAGTGAAGAATTTCAGTAATTTTTCACCTTATATTCTGCATCACAACCCAGTGTTGTCTGTTATATTTTCCTCCCAGTATTTGTGTATTCTTGTTTTGTTCTGTGTGTTGAACATTCTTGTGTTCATATTCTTTTCATTTAGCCAGTGTCTAATTTGTCTTATTTCCACAGACAATAGTGCCATTATTTTGTGCAAGCAAGAAATCATTATTATCAAAATTTTTCACACATCAAGTTTCATTGCAAGAAAATTCTAGTATTGTGTTTATGTTAATGTGTTGTGTTCTGCATCACTGTAAGTGTTCAAACTTTTTTTTGTTCTGTGTTTTAGCACCTATTATTTTTCATGTTTCATTGAACAAATTCACTCTTAGTGCAATTTTTAAGTTCTTCTTTTAAAGTAAATTGTTCTTTTGCTTGTTAAGTGTTGCTTGAGTGCAGTTAAGAGTTAAAGTGTTCACTCAGTTCATTCCTTGATAATAATATTTTCTTTTCTTGTAAACAGTGTTTTCTTGTGTGTGTAATTTTTTTTTATTATTGCACATTGACTCATTTTGCAATAATTCTTGTGCAAACATTGTGTTACCATTTAAAGTTTTTCGTGCAGAAATTTTGTGCAGTGTTGTGCAAGACTTTTTGATTAGCAATTGTTACTTGCAATATTGCTACAGTTTATTTCAGTGCAGTTTCATATGTTCTGTTCTGTGCATAATATTTTATTCTTTCTGTGCCATTGTATTTTATTTTAGTGAATTGTGTCCCAGTTTGTTTTATTTTGCACAAGCTTTATTGAATCTGTTTTATCATTCTATTGTGTATTTCCCTATTGCATTGAGAGTAAAGACAACTCACTGTGCCATTCATTCAATTTAAAGTAAAATTTCAGCAAATTAGATTTGAGTAAGGTACAAGTTCTCTTGATTTCCAAAGTGTTGTTTGTTCAGTTGAGTATTATCTTTGTGACTGTGAGTTTCTTTGCTTACTGTGTGACCTGTCAATTTTTTTTAATTACTTATGCAGAATAGTTAAGCATTTTCTTCCCATTTAAGCTTATTGTATCATTCTCTCTATTTTTCTTGCCTTTATGTCCTTCAGTAAGTTCCCTGAGAAGATGTCCCAGTTACTTTTGAATGTTCACTTAGTGTATCATGCCAGTCAAAGTCAATATGAATCAGTCCACAGTACCAATATTCCCTTACTGACTGAAAGACAATATCTAGCCCTTGAGCAATGTGTTTGCTCTCACAGCTTGTATCTGAGATTTGTTAAAGTGCTGCGAAATGGGAAGTTCAGATTAAGTTCCTATAGATTCGTTCATTACTTATTAACGTAGCCGAGCGGTCAGGCACTAGTAATACTGTCACTCCTGTCTGGACTCCAGCCACAATGTTGTGCACGCAGGATAGTGCTGAGACTATCCTTGCGATGGCGACTTGTTCAAGTACTCATTCCTTCCCAGGGGATGCTTTGAGAAGAACTTTACTTGCAACGAGTTATGCCATCTCTTGTTGATGCCAAACCAAGCCGTTGCAGAAAGACGTTTCTGTGGCTAGTGTACTCATTTGAGTGTTGTTGTTGTTCCTTGTGTTCCAGATGGTGATCCCATCCTAGTTGACAGTAATTCGTTCAACGTAAGAAGTTATTTCTCGAGTAACTTTCACATGTTGTTAACGTTTGTAAGTGAAGTTTCTTTATAGCTGATACCTCGTGTCACTGTGTGCGACTCAGATTGAATATCAGCATTGTTGACCGTGTTCATTTATTTTCTCCTGTGCTTGCAGTTTGAGATAGTAGATTCATTCTCCCTTGCTCATATTGCATGTTATAGCATTAATTTTTTTCAACCGGGGAGAGTCATCCACTCCACCGAGTTTGTTCATTCCTCCAGTAAGAAAGAACAGATCCCATGTGTTCTGGTGATTCAATTCCTGCTCCAGGAAGATCTTATTCTGACTGTGAAGCCACCAGCACCCATTAGTGACTTTGTAATGAGCCAAGAATTACTGTATCGAACAGCCGAATTGGGTACTCCAAGCAGAAGGGTGTACCAGTTAGTAATTCCACAGTCACTAGTGAACGTAGCTCTACAGCTAGTTCATGATGCACCAGGTGTTGCACACCCTGGTATGGATCGTTCTGTGAAACAAGCCAGAATGAAATACTTTTGGCCACGTATGGCAACTGACATTTCAGAGTAAGAAATGTAGTGTTTGTATGCAACATAAAGGAAATGTCAATGGGCCTAATCCAATCCAAGTGTACCCAACCACTAGCGAACCGTGGGAAAGATGTTCCCTCCAAGGCAACAAACATCTGTGTGTTATGGTAGACCATTTCACCAGATATTGTGAGTTAGTTCCTATTGCAGATAAGACTGCCGAGACAGTGGCTAAAGCGTTTAAAGAACGCATTATCTGCAGGCATATCACCCCAAAGTCCTTAGTAACAGATAATGGAGGTGAATTCTGTAATGAGATTCTTGAAAATTTGTGTACTTTGTACAAGATCTCTAAATCCACCATTGTTCCTCATCATCCTGCCAGCAATGGGTTAGCCGAACGAACCAATAAGAAAGTACTTGATGTCCTGGGAGCCACTATCAACCCAATAGTGAAACTTGGGATGAAGTTATACCAGATGTCAATGTGCCATAAATTCTGCTTTACAATGCTTCCATAGGTGATACTCCACATTATGCGTTGTATGGTGTAGACAAGCGTTTACCCTATGAGTTGTTATATTCCACTCCGAAACCTAATTACAACCCTGATGA